AGAAATATATTTTTGTGCTTGTTTTTGCCATTTGGCTGATACTACAGTAGAATGAAAGAGCAAAGGGTTCAAGGGCTGGTTCTGCCACTGTAAGCTGTAACTTTGAGTAGTTGATTTTAACTTTGACTTTCTTATCTATAAATTGGCCATCATGCCCTCCTATCCAGCTCACAGTTTGGTGTGTGGATGGTGGAAAAATTCCATACACTCCACACTTGACAATTCAAATATTAGTGCCAATGGCAAAGGAGTGTGGTTCATTTGTTCCAGCTAGCCTGATGGCTCTGAGAAACAGCTTGGGAATGGCATTGAACCACTGAAATTTGTTCTGTTTTTATGGTGGTAGGTTGTGGTTTCAGTGATTGAATTCTCAGAGAGTGTCAAGAGAGCTGAAAGTTCACTAAAATGTATCCGACCGAGATCTGTTGTAAAACTGTGGAGCTTCTCTGTGGACTTGCAAAAGGGAGATAATTTACAGAGACATAGTTGAATCAGGTCTGTGCTTCTAATAGTGGATCTCTGGGTTGTTTACAGAAACATATGCCTAAAATGAGTTCACTCTCTTCAGCAGCCAGGAGTAATGCCTCCGTGGAGCAGGTCTGGGCTGTTTTTTAGGGGCATGGCACGGACAAGCTGTTGAGAAATTCTTGCTGGTGTGCATAAGATTCCTGGCATAGGTAATTAGGGCTGATGGTCCAGTTTCTAGAACTATCCAAAATTATAGAGGAGGCTCATGTGAGGTCTGGACTTGCCCAGCTCTGCCATCCTTGTTTCCTATCTCTCTAGCGAGGGGCCGGAGGAGATGTTTGCCAAGACAAGCACATGAAGAGACCAACTTACCTTAGTAGATGGCAGATCAGAAACAGAAACTCAGCTGCCTGAATTTTAATCTAATGTATTTCCCAACCACACTTGGGAAGAGTAAATAAGCCATTACTATTTTAATCATTTGACTATGAAATATTTCTGGCTCTCCAGCTGGAGACAGGATGCATCAAAACAGGGCCCTTTCTCATATGCTCTAGTTTGTGAGCCATCTGTGACCACAGATTCATTTTGGGGGCTTCTAGTTTGGTTTCTTTTGATTTACAGACACTTAGATGAAGGTTCCTGAGGAACAATGTGTTAAAATACTTGAAATATTCCAGGCCTCATTTTCCTAATCTCTAATACGCCACCTCTCACAAAATTCATTTATTTTTTTCAACTACGAAAATATAAGAATTCAATGCTTGTGAGTACTTGAAAGTTCTTACTTTTTTTTGTTTTTTGAGTAGTTCAAGAATAAGTGCATGCC